TCTGGTCATTTTCATGCACAAGCAACATAATATACACTACCCGGAGTTGTCTCCTATAGACCTGCCTTGTGCACCTTTTGGACTAGAAGAGAAAAAAAAAAAAGTCAAAGATTATTTTAGGGTAGGTTGTCCATAAATTTTCACATAGTGTAAATGTCTCTCGGCACTGGAGCAAAAAGCAGTTAGTTCTGAGCGGAATTTACGATTACCCATCAAAAAGGGGTTGCAACGCCATATGCCAGGACCCACTTTCACAGAACCCATGGTGAGACAGATTGTGAGTGCTGAGTGATCACAGCCTTTGATATAAGTGAGGCGTGGATAAGTGGTGAGATGTTGCAGATCACTTGTCACCAGGATGAAATCGATTGTTGAAATAGTACCAAAAGTAGGCATACGGTGTTGATTGGAGTCACTGAGAAAGGCGTCATGCCAGAACGAGTGCAGCCATTCTTTCCAAGATTGGAGTAACTGGTGTGTCATAGGAAGATGGATATCATGATTAAAATCTCCCAGCAGAACAGCGCGTTGTGGAGGTGCATCATCGAAGTGTAACATGGAGTTGAGAGAGTGAAAGAAAGCGGGGCGATCTGTGTGATGCGCTGGAGCATAGAGGACGTAAATAAGAAGAGGGTCATAGGCTCCTGATAAATCTGTGACTTGAGCGACGAGGAGCCGTCCGTCTACAGAGGACCAGCGCGGTTCAATCGCTAGCTGACGATTAAAAGAAATTAGGCCACAATGGCGAGTCCATGTAGCTGAGTAAGTTTGAAGACATAATTCAAATTGAGAATGAAGATCGAAGGAATCGGCATGAGTTTCTTGTAAGGCTATGATGTCGGTTTCTAAGGAACGAATATAACGGGCAAATGATTTTCCTCTTGGAGAGAGGATTTTTTTAAGACCTCGACAATTAAGCGAGGTTATTGAGACACGTACAGTGACTCAAAAAACTGGCAACATGTTTCGCACTTTTGAGTTTCGGCATGCGTAGCTCATTCATTTCTTACTGTATTATCTTGAAAATTTAGGTAAACAGTGCAAGGCTTATGTAGATTTTGTCGACCAAATTTGGTAATGATCCAAATAAAACTCAGCCAGCGACTGGCAGCTGAATTTGACCAAAACATGTTGCCAGTTTTTTGACCACCTGCTAAAAATAAGATAATCATTTATTTATTTATTTCTAGTATTCTGTCCAGTATCCTTTCGACTTGATAACTGCTTCTATTCTATTTGGCATGCTATCAATCACCTTTAGACAATCTTCTTTGGTAATTTTCTTATACCAAGTGTCAGCTACAGTGACTCAAAAAATTGCTCACATGTTTGTGTGTTTTCACTTTAACGAACCATCAAGGAACACAAGTTACTTATACATCTGGCATGTTGTATATCAAATGAAAGCGTAGGCCATTGACTATCGAATGGCGCATGACATGCGCCATTAGCATGCTGTCGGAGGTAGAAACAGGTGCTTAAAAATAAAAATTTATGTGAGCAATTGTTTGAGTGGGTTGGGAAAAAATAAAACATATTTATTTAGTATTTTGTTTCGCCTCCTTTTGCTTTTATTACAGCTTGTATGCGTTCTGGCATGGAGTTAATATATCTTAAGCACATGTCCTTGTCAATTTTGTTGTTCCATATATGCTCTACACGCTCCCAAAGTTCCAACATACCCTTAGGCGGTTCATCATACTTAGCAAGCTCACATTTGACGAAATACCACATGTTTTCGATTGGATTTAGGTCAGGAGAGTATGCTGGCCAGTCTATAACCTTAACTTCATTGCCCTTAAGCCATTCCTGCGCCATTTTGGACCGATGCTTTGGATCATTGT